TGTTAAGTTGCAAATATTAAATGAATAAATAAATAAATAACAACATTTATGATGTTTATATGAATTTGATTTGTAATTTTCACATATTGATTAAACTAACAGCAATATCACAGTATTTGGTGAGGGTGGGCATCCCGTCGCGTATATATAATATTATTTAACAAAGACCACTGCCTGTTTGTTCTAACACTAACAATTGCTATAATAATTATTGTAACTTGGGCGAGAAAGAATAAGTAATTTAAATAAATTATTTGTATTCTACAAAATTATTTTAAATGGAAGAGCATTTTATTAAAAATCTCAAAAAGTCATAAATCAAATATTGTTCCAGCAGAAAAAAGTCTAGACTAGTTGTTTTTTAAACCAGCGAATCAAGCCATACTGCGATGAATATGATATATGCCGCAATGGAAGAAAGCTTCGCTGTCGCTCGAGGAGGCGCGCCAGAGTGCGCCCCGATCTTGGCTGCGTACGAGATTGCGTGGTACACGTAATGCTGCTCGTGTACGTTGTGGAACAAATGGGCGTGAGGTCCTGAAATAGCCAAAGAATTCTATAACATAGAATCATTGTAAAATTTAAATGAATTCCAAATTCCAGGTGCGTTTGTACAAGTATCTTCACTCCTTTGTACCGGCAAAGATGCTAAGCATTATTACTCTCTTTGTATCGAAACTTGTCTTTTTGAAATGGCTGGTCTGGAAAAAATAGTCACCGTAATGTGTCACTGGGGGATGTCTGGTGACGTCAATTTTAGTTAAGTATCATAAAACGGGCTGATTAGTGAATCTGTCTGGGTGACGGGCAGCAACCGTTGGTGATCATAGTCTCCACTAGGGTCTCATCAAATGCATCCCAATTCTGCATGCGTACTTACCTCAAAAGTGTCGCAAGTTTTATATTATGGACATGATTTAATAAAGCACGTACCATATGCGTATTTTGTTCGTGGTATCAGTGCCTCTACCACGAGTTCACAACTTTGTTTGCCCTATTATACAGCGCCCCTAGTGGTCACAAGAAGAAACAACATTTTGTATACAAACATGTTACCTACGCGGTCGCTGGCGAGAACGTCACTGTAATCTCATGGTAGAAGCACAGGTCACGTGATTAGAGGTGTCCAAATATTTGTTCATCTTGGAAATGGGATTGATGAACTTCTAAAGATCTGATAAGGAAGACTAGTCAGGTGTGACATGTTAAGGTTACAATAATTGTTCCACATAGAACCGAGTACCTACATGGAACCACTGGGAATAAACGTCCGGATCGTGGTGTTTGAGGCGGAGAAGCTAGGAGACATGATATTTCTCTTCTTCTCTTTCTTCCTCTCTCTCTCTCTCTCTCTCTCTCTCTCTCTATTTATTATTCAATGAGTAACCAATGCTATTATTGTGGTTTTGGTACCAGATCACGTGGTAAGTAAGTACCATCGTCATTTCGCTACCAGACGTGGTAGTTGTTTTTATACTTAGTTCTGGCCAATACGGATTAATCAAATTAATTAACCCAATCTGTGCATCACTTCTCTGAGCTTCCTTAATGGGTTTAAACACAGCATGAGATGACATTTTTTAGAGGATCGTATTCGTACGGTAATCACCCTTGCTCTATGTGGTTGGGGTTACGTTAAGTTTCTTCCACATAATAACTAATGACAAAAAAAGGTAGAGGTGAGTAATAGTAACAGTACTAATCAATCATGTATTATGATTATTATTGAGAATAGCTGTGTCCGTCCCGCCGCGGCGGACTCGCCACAAGGTTATATTTATGTATATCACAATATACATATATATATATATATGTTAATATCGTATCTCGTGGTAACTTGCCGAAGCACAGTGGGCCCAAATTGATAATTTTTGGACATAGGAATAACTTGTGCAGTATTGAGCTAATTTTTTTTTTATATGATAGATAACATTTCTACCAACTTTTATATTGTATAATTTCTTGAAAAGTTGATAGTTTCGGAGAAAAAAAAACTTTTTTGTAGGGAGAAATATACATTTCATTTTTTATCTCAAAATATACGAAAATGTAATGTGCGTGGGTTAATTACAGTATAGTTCCAATCATTTTCTATGTAGAAAAAAATTAATCCGTCTGCATGTACTTGCGGCTTTGTACGTAAAGGTACGGCAAACTTACTAACTCTTTTATGTACTTTTTTAACAAAATGCATGAGCTTCGAATAAAGAAAAATTAATTTTAGTGTAATTTAGAGAGTGTTATAAAAATAACACGAAAGCTAAGTAGAAGCTAATATATTGTGATAAAAAATAAATAATCAAAAATTTTAGATCTGCTAAAATTTTGACACCTTTTTATTCGTAAAGCCGCAAGTACCTGCAGATGGATTATTTTTTCTTGATAGATAATGATTGGACCTATATTGTAAATAAACCACACACATTACATTTTCCTTCATTTCGAGATAAAAAATAAAATGTTTATTTCTCCAAACAAAAAAAAACTAAAATTTTTTTTTCTCTGAAACAATCAGGTTTTCAAGAAATTACATAAGAATAAAAGTTATCAGGAATGTTATATATCAATTTATTTATTGAGTATTATTATCATTTTGGGCCCACTGTGCGGCGGCGTGATGGACAATAGCACCATTTAAGTGCCATGTGGCAGTGTAAATCATTTCGCGTATAATCTATGTCTTCGAAATATTTACGATACTCTTAGAAGAGTAGACTTTAGGTAACTTTGCTCAGGATGTAAGCTTCTGGTCGTTAGCATCCGTCCGCAGGAGTTTGTATTAACTAAAATTTGAACACCTGAATGTATGGAGGTATTTCTGCGTGTGCCCGAATGGTTACCATGCTGGTCTGAAACGCAGAGATCACGGGTTCGATTCCCGGGAAGGGAGAAATATTTGTATGGCCTACAGTTATTTCTTTCGTTTGGGTGTAATTTTTGGTGTTCTATGTGTTCGTGTCTATGGCACCCGCGACACAGGGCTTCCCTGGTGCGGGGTTATGAGTATGTGCGTTATTATGTAAATTGTCTCTTACCTCTGGCATAGATAACAACGTCTCCCCCGCCATGACTATTCTCCTCCAAGGTAATAGCCGCCACCTGTTGATATTCAAAGCTGTCCGTGTCATTGTAAGACGGGGCTTTACGTATCACGCGTTCGGCCACCACTTCGTATTGGAATGAACCGGGGCCGCCCGTGCCGTAGCTCAGTGTTGTGTATGTTAATCCGTCGTACGGCGACTTGGCAGCTATTCCTGGAATAAATCCGTTTTATTTGTTGTTAAAAGAAAGATTTTGAAAGAAAGTGACTTCTCTTACGAGTCGATGCCTCAGATAATTTTGCTCGGGTTGAGCGGCAGGGAAAATAGCTTTATTTCAGAATTTCTTTTTTACAAACGAAATTAAAGCCGTTTGAAAAATATATTTCGTATACTATTTATACGTGTTATAGTCAGTTCAGTTGATATAAAAAAGGTCCTTGATGCCTATATATAAAGTACCTATTGAATACAGCGGTTTTCTTGTAAAATTTCGAGGTAAGTATGTGTTTCTTTCTATCGTGAAAATCTTTAGGAATCGTGTTATCACACAGTGTACTAATCAGTGTATATCCTCAATTTCACTATACGCAATTTGTCCAAAGTGATTGATTCAACACTCGCTATTATGCGAATCAAAACCAAAGCCATTTGACGTTGTAAAGACTCTTGAGTTACGTGTTTAACTTCAGACGCTAAAAGAGGGGAGTTAAGTTTAAAGTTTTTTTTTGTAGCTCCCAACAGTTGGCCAGATCTCAAAGCTTAATTTGAAATCTAATTTTATCGGGATGTTGATGATCTTAGTCCTAAATAAAATGAATATTTATCTTATGTGCACTTGTCCGATCGACTTGAAGTTTGGCATACTATGGAAATCCAACGACATTACAATAGTACCTACGGTAAGTTTGATCTGGTTCTGCAACCAGGGCAGTCTGCAGACTATACAACTCCTCAAGTACTTAGGTACATTAGAACTATCGTGGCTGTGCTCATTAGATCGGTTGATAAACCAGATTTCACTTTACGAAGTACTTACACTGTTTGGTAGAGGGCGTTTTTAATTTTAATTACAGTTTTTAACCGACTTTAAAAAAGGAGGAGGTTCTGAATTCGACTGTTTTTTTGTGTGCATAAGTTACGCGATTTGTGAACCGATTTTGATGATTTTTTTTGTTGGAAAGATGAGTCAATGGAGGTATTGATCCAGGTCAATTATCCCATTTAAATTTCCCCTTAGTATTATCCCATTTAAATTGGAAGCAAATATACCACCTCTAAGGGTAGCAGAATTAGGGGATAAATCAGATTTGTTGGATTTCAACCACTTTCCGTTAACCGTTTTCAATAAAGCTTGGCAAATAGATGTAATTCCACAAACTTTTGAAGTTGGTTTGTACTTTTTTAATAAAGAATGTATAATTATGTAATATACTATTTTTACATAAGTATATCCATCGTTTGGTCAACGCACGCGCCAGTGAGCATGGGCCAGTGCACATTTGAAGTGGTTCTAGCAGCAGCTTCATTTTAATTAGTTGCAATCGTTATGGGATTAAACTTGGCTAATCTATTGCCCAACACGAGTATCTCACCTACCAAAAATATTAGTTCCTCTTAACGGATACCCGTTAATAGATAACGTATGCGTATGGTCGCTGGTGACCAAAAGAAGCGTGTCTTTCTCTTCAGTCAGCTCCAACGTGCGTCTGACTGCATCTTCCATGGCCGCTGCCTCGTCAACGGCTGTCTTTGCCCGCCCTCGGTGGTGCGCCATGTCAATGTTGCCGCCTTCTACCTTGAAAATTATCAATTAAGAGGAGCATTAGTCTTCTTACAAAAAGTGGTTGCTACCATTTTCAAAGAAATTGTCGATATATTTAGTAGCAGAAGAGCTCCCTGTGAAAGAGTTAGTCCAGGGTAGTATTGGCAATACTACCTTACCTATTTCTGCCGCCAAACAGTAATGCCAACATTACTGTGTTCCGGTTTAGAAGGGTAAGGGTGCTGGTGATTACAGGATTACAGGCACATGGGACTTGTCAACTTATGTCTCAGGCAGGGTGACGGGGCGCAGTGACAGTGCCCCTCAGATCTTTGCGATTTAAAGCTCTGAGTGGCACTGCAACAGTCACGGACAGGCGTGTAGCTTACCATCAGGCGCACGACTTGTTCGCCCCGTCACTAGATTTTTATATTTTAGTTATTTATTTAGGAAAACATAGTCTTTTACAAATCTTACAAGAAATATATAAACTTACTAGCAAACCAGGTTATTCCATTAAATACGTACAAATATTACAAAATATGAGTTTGTACTGTAGACATCTATCTAAAATACACATACAAAAAAAGCTATATATACATCTAAAAAAATTGAGAATAATAAATATATAAAAAATGCAAGCAATACTTCAAAGGCTTCGTGGCAAATAATCAATAAACAAAAATATCGCAAGCCAAGAGAGCATATTTTAAAAATTTTATCTAATAATAATTATTTATGTAAACCTAGTGATATAGCAAACTTATTTAATGATACATTTGTTGATTTGACAAAAAAATATCCTAACAATTGCAATGGGTATAATTATAAAATACGGGGTTTTAGTAATTCAGTATATTTAACGCCCACCACTCCTCAATGCATTACTAAAATAATTAAAAATATGAAAAATACAAATAGTGTAGGATACGATGGCATCTCTACTAAAGTTATAAAGTACTGTTCAGAAGAACTAGCGAGTCCCTTGAGCTATATTTTTAATTTGTGCCTATGTCAAGGGATTTTTCCTGAAAAGTTAAAAATTACAATAATAAAGCCGATATTTAAAAAAGGGAATAAGGAAATGTGTGAAAATTACCGTCCCATCGCCTTGATACCAGTCATTGCAAAAATTTTGGAACGAATCATATACAATATTATTTATGGATTCCTAGAAAAATATAATATATTAAAACAAGAACAATATGGTTTCCGAAAAAATAAGTCAACTTCTCAGGCAATAATTGACCTCTTAACAACAATTTCAGAAAGTATAAATAATAAGGATGCAATATCAACAATCTTCATGGACATGACGAAAGCTTTTGACTTTGTGTCACACAAATTACTCTTAGGTAAATTATACGAATACGGTGTGAGAGGACCTGCTTACAATCTAATAGAATCGTATCTGCAAAATCGCCAACAGGAAACTCACATTACGTACATGGAAAACCTTACAGAAAAAGTAGCCAAATCAAATACTAGAATTGTAGAGCGCGGTGTTCCGCAGGGAAGTATTTTAGGGCCGCTCCTATTTATACTCTACATTAACGACTTGCCTGAACATGTAAAGCAAAAGATTATACTTTTCGCTGATGATTCATCTGTGATAGTTAGGTGTACTAATCTTAAGGAATACGAGTCTATTTTGAACGAAGCACTGGGTGATATAATTAAATGGCTAGAAGTAAATAACCTAGTAGTTAACATAGGAAAAACAAAATTTATGCAGTTCTTTCTGCCACAATCACGACCTAAAAACTTAACGATCAATTATAACGGACAAAAAATTATGCAAGTTAATGAGAGTAAATTCTTAGGCATTACTCTTGATCGTCACTTGAACTGGAAGACACACATCTCAAATCTAACGACTAAACTGAGTAAATACGTATACGTACTAAAAAACTTAACTAAAATTACTTCTCGAAACACGGCGCTATGTGCTTACCATGCATATGTGGCCTCTAGTCTGCGATATGGTATATTGCTATGGGGTAACGCTGCTCTAACACATATTTTGCCACTATTTAAAACTCAAAAGAAATGTGTCAGGGCAATGTTCGGAATAGGTCAACGAGTAAGTTGCGTACCTTATTTTAGGGAACTTAAGATCCTGACTCTACCTTCGCTATTCATCTATGAAGCATGTATTTTTGTTAAACAAAATCTAGACAAATTCTCTTCGGTACAAACCAGTTATCCTAGGAAAGCACGAAATAACCTTGTAATACGGCCCAAACAACTACCAAACTTGCAATTCTACAATAACACAGTATTTGTTTTGGGACCCAAATTATTTAATAAATTACCAGAGACCATAAAGACACTAAATTACAGTCTATTCAAAATTAAGTTGTTTAATTTATTGGTTACTCAATGTTACTATAATATTAATGATTATTTGACTGATTATATAAAATCAGACTGAGCAAAATGTGCAAGAATTAATTTGACTGACGATGTATAAATTTAACTATAATTGCTTTTTATTATTATTTTATATTAGAATGTTGATTTGACTTATTCCTTATATAATTTTTATTTCATCAATTAATCAATTATTTGAACTTTTAATTATTTTTATGACAAATGTATAAACTTTGTACGCCGCTAGGCGAATAAACTTTGTATGCCGCTGGGCGGATCACAGTGACACTAACTAAATATGTAATGAACCTTTATAACCTGTGTATCACAAAGGATTAAATGAATTATGAATGAATTATGAATTATGAATTATGAATTACAGAAAATAAATAAAACAATATATTGTTAACAGTAATTAAACCTGTCACAGAGCTTTTAGTTTATTCACGGGGTAGACGACCCCGTTAAATAGAATATTTCCCACTTTTTTCTGTGGTCAATGCTAACGACAAACTGTCGATGTCGTTCAATGTCTCATCGTAGTGCTTACACGAGTGTCGTATAAATGTGTTTTTGGCGTACCTAATTCATAGAACAAGAGTATATAGGTAACAATAAAATGTATTTTTGGTACGGGAGGAGATTCTAGGAATATTAAAGTTGATTAATTGAAATAATAAAGCAGAGTCTATACTGCCGTTTACTATTTTATGAAGAAAAATTTCATCCAAAAGGACACGTCTGTTGATTAGAGAATCCATATCATGCCTTATGACGGCCGTTTCATAATCGACAAAGTATGGTCCGGTTCGGTAGTCTAAAGATTTAAGAAATTTATTTTGGACTTTCTCTAGGCGAGCAATATGAACGGCGTATTGGGGCTCCAAACAACGCATGCAAATTCTAACAGCGATCGTACGAAAAAGTAATATAGAATTTTATAGGTAAATATTTTATTGAAAGGTCTAGTAAGACGATAAGTCATTTCAAGTTGCTTATAAGCTCTGTTAATTATATTATCGATATGAATATTAAATTTTATCGAAGACTAGAAAAATAGGTATACACAGCGTCCACCTGATAGCCCGCACCAAGCGCACTATGAAGGAAATCGGTATACAACACTAAATTAGAATCAACACTTCTGCCACGGAAGAAGCCGTGTTATTGTAAGTGACGGGATACTGTAATACTAAGATCATCTACTACAATTTTTTCGAAGATCTTGCCAAGAATACATAACTTAGAAATTGGTCTGTATTGTCGCACGTCATGTTTATCACCGACCTTTGGAATAAGTGTGACAAGGGCCCTTTTCCATATATCGGGGAAATGCCCTTCCTTTAGAGATTTAATGTAAATAATAGAAGGGGAACAGATTACTCCTTACATGACTTACATATTAAAAGAGGATGCACACCATCCACACACTTATTAATGTCAACCCGTCAGAGATATTTTTCAACTAGATTATCTGTTATAAATATTTTCGAAACATTGATGAAAGATTCTACATGATTTGATTCATTGCCAAGAGCAGACGAGCTGATTGGATGACTGGCCGGAATAAACACGGAATGAATGTAATATAATAGTTATTAAAAAAGGTTACAAATAGTTTCGCCATCAATAGAAGAGGAGTCCCCAAAGGTCATATGTGACGGAATGTTGTTAGGACAGAACTTAGATTTAAATAAAACTCTAAAAACATTTCGTAGTAGCTGTGATTTTTTTCTTCGGAAAATTTTATATAATTATTGTAACATTCTGTCTGTAATTTCTTTGCACGATCGATTCGAGCTTCTCCGATTCATGCTTCGACGATTTCGAGGATCTTTATAAGTTTTCCACCTAGAGTGATCTTTAATTTTTCACGTATTAATTTAATGAGGGCCCGGGAATACCAAATCGGATGCTTGTTATAACAGGAGACTAATACGTTTTGGGAATAAACTTCAGTTAACTTGTTTAGAACCGAATAAAAATAAGTTACAGCCTTTTCAGTATCCATACCGTGCAGCAGTATCTGTACGCATAGGCTTACGGTAAATTTTAAAATCATGTTTGTTATTTATGTTGGTTATAGTTAAATCTAAAAAATTGAGAGAGTTGTCTTGTTCTAATTATTTCTTAATCTTAATTTTTGGGTGTATGTTGTTAAGGTCGTTTGCAAAATTGTCCAGCTGTCTCATACTACCCGTCCAACAAAGTATCAAATCATCAATATACCTAAAGTAATATAGTATATGTTGGATTTCATATTTTCTTTTTTTATTTGTATTAGACGATTTCAATTTTTATTAAAAGATTAAAGAGATGTCAATTCTATCAACTTCCCCTGGATGTAGTCATCGCCTTTCTAAGTGATCTTTAAGAATATCAGTGTAGGGAACATTAGTGAACAAGCTGTCTACATCCAGAGAAAGTAATTTGGCGGTAAGTGGTATGTTGATGTCTTTGATCCTTTGTATTAAATCTAAACTATTCTTTAAACAAAAAGGCGATTAGAAACAAGGTTTTTCCCGAATAATGATTCTAAATGGAGCACCTATATATGAGACAACTGAGCAGGATAGGAATATTTTTTGTGAATTTTTGGAAGACCGTAAAGAATTGGTGCTTGTGGATTAATTGGTATCATATTGCTTTTTTGGCAGTCCGTTTCGTTTTACGTTAACGTCATTTTTAAGGTCTTTAAGAAACACATTCAAAACAAATTCAAATTAAAGAGAAATAATTTTTTTAAATAGTTTTTCGGCCCCTGTGTTAAGTCCTATTTTTCGAGATACGACAAGATCGCTTTCCGGCGTCGATATATTGATTGTGAAAAATTGAAGTGACTAATTTTAGCCTCGACTTGCCTCTACTCTTGTTGTTATCCCTAAGATAGGGCTCATATGGGTAACATTATTTTAATTTTAAGACCTTATGTACCAATGAAGACAATAAATATATTGAGTATTGAGTATCCTGTTTACCCCCATTACGAAACGGTTGAACTCGATGAATAGTGTCAATGTCGGTTTCTAAAAAAGTCACACCTACTTTAGTACAAATGTGTTTTTAGGAATACCTTGAATTTCAATATTATTTAATCCAGAAAATTGACCCTGATTATTATTTTCTTGTTTTAATTCTTCAAATGCACGCTGGGTGTCTGCTAGTTGTTTTTGAACTGTAGCGAGTGCATTCACTTTTCTTTCGACAGTTAGTAAACGCTCATCCATTCCGTCAACACGTACTACGAGGTCACACCACTTTGAATTTAAGTCCGATATATTTTGTGTTTTTTTTGAGTGCGAATGTATTCTTTAATCGAGACATCAGTTCGGAACTCCCTAATTTCCCTTATAAATTCAGCCAAGGAATTATCCTGCGATTGCTCAATAGAAGAAGCTGCACGGCAGGTCACGCAACGCCAGGTAAACTTCTTTTCCAGATCCATTTTCCTATAAGTGGATTCAGCGACTCCAGCACAATGACAATGATAACGTTCACTGCACAGTCCCCCATGACATACGACGAAGTCAGTACCTGGTTAATTACACTCGGAGCTCAACATTTTAATAAATGTACCGTCGGCAAAATAAGCGGTAAGGGTCAATATATTCGCGCGCGCGCTTAATCGAAACGATCGTCCGCAATGTACAATCTCAAGCGAGCGAATGATAGATATTATATAAAAAAATTAAGAGCACATTCTAAAGTGGAAGGAGAATATCTAGATAAGTACCTACTTCCAAAACGGACAATAAAATTGGACATATTTTGTGGTTTGGTTATTACCAAGTTCCACTTTTAATAGACCTAACAATACAAACCATAAGGAAGTATCCTGTCTTGCTCTGTCGCAGTACTTTGATGGCCGCTTCCACCATCTCCGATAAGGATGGTGATCCCGCTGGACCTTTATCCCGTTGATATTCAAAATTCAGGTGTCCGTTGGCGAAGATGCCTGCAAGTTGTGTAGAGTGTAAAGTTTGCGCTGCAAGAATTGCATACGTGAGGCGGCCAGTTTAGTGAACGATGGGCTAATACGAGGGTTATTACAGAGCGAATCTGGGCTTAATTCAGCCCTTTAGCAAAAATCTGTTGTACAAAACGACCTACTTCTTCTTGAACACTTGTAGTTTTTTTCAACGACTCGGAAACGTGTACGTGCGGGTAATTTAAAAACAGGGTAAACATGCGCTCGCATTATAGTGTAGCTGGAAAAAACTTTCATTTAAATAGTTGCCATATTGTAGGAGCCGCTAAGCAGCGAGCGTTACTCGTCGGTAATGCAAGTTCACATTTTTTCATTCTATCGACATATCGCGACATGGTGATAAGTCGTTTGACCCTCTAGTTTCAAGGTAAAAACGTACCTGGAGTGTGAGAGCGTTCACCGATGAGATCGACAAACCATAGAAGACACTGCACTATGCGTCAGGAAGCTATATGCACATACACAACAACTCAGTGAGACAGAGACATCGACCAATTTATGGGGCGGGTTATAAACATGTAACATTATTATTATAATCCAAATGACGACTACGACCTTTCCGCCAGGAGGCCGTCGAGAATAAAGAGATGGGAGATTTATCAATAGTTTTTGTACGGTAAATTATAACTTATCGGGACTCATGTACTGTGACTAGGTAACCCTTTTAGGCCACACGCTGCTGGCGTAATGTGACACGAGAGTATACTACATTAAATTTGACAGTAGTCTGAAATCTTATCAGTTCTTTGCTTACCTAAAAGATAATCAGTGTTCTTCTCATCAAGAGCCTTCAGTTCTTTGTTATTAGTGACGATGCTATATTTCAAAGTTCGTCTTTCTTTATCTTTTCTATAAGTTTCGATGAGGTCTCTCCCGTCTTTACGAAAACACCCCCATCGACTGGAGTCGTATGGATCTGCAGATGAGTTTGTCACATTTGATACTAGAACTTGTCTGCCGCCACCCATTATTACCTGGAGACAAGAAATCAGAATTACTTGTCGTTTTATTCTTTTTTTGTTCGGTAGGTATTGACGCTATTGGTTATTATATATATATATGTATATATATTATTTACGCAACACAATATTAGATTCGTAGAAAATGTGTTAAATTAATCGACAATTGACCATCAGAGGCCGACTACTGGCTCTTTCTAAGTAGTGGCACATAGAAGTACTTGGACGGGTTTTTAATCGACTTCAAAAAAAAGGAGGAGGTTCTCAGTTCGACTGTTCTTTTATGTAGGGGAAAGGTGTACGAGATGATCCTTGGAGGTAAAATGATCCTTTTCAATTGTAGCGAAACTAGTAACGTCACCCAGATATTTTCTTCAGTAAAATTTAGGCCTCAATGTGCCGTCTCATCAGTCAATTCGTAATAGCGATGTGAGTGACGAGATCATTTTTGTGGAAAAAAACAAAAATTGTGTGAGTTTGATCTAAGGTAAAGTTGATTAAAAGCTTAGGCAACTTCCATTTTAAGCAATCAATTGCTAAGATTTTTGTGTTGGTGGCTTTGTATAATGCACTATTTACTTTTTTAATGGCGTGGTAACAGTAGACAGCATACAGGTTATTTTGCCGAACAAAAAATAAAAATAATTAAATTGGGGTAAGATGATTATGGTTTTGGTGTACGAGATGATCTGTGGGGATCATCTTGTATTGTATATATTGTTAACGGACTATATTTAATTTGTACGTTTTTCTGAGTACTGAAACCTCTTAATTAAATAGCTTGCAATACGAATAACATAGTAGAAGACTGGATTTCGTTTACATGATCGATCTCGATTATTAACAAATATATAGGAGATTGTACAACAAGGGCATAAAGTGACCCATTTTTATCCGAGGCCATTTTTTGCCAAAATAGTAGACGAGGGTAAAAATGGACATTTATGCCCTTGTTGTACACTCTGCTTTTCACTTCGATTGTGAGGAAAGCGTTTTTAAACGATAATCGACTCCTATTTTATGTGACTTACTAAATATTGTAATCACACAAAATATGGGATTCTAATAAATTATAGCAAAAATAAAATAATATAATAAGTTTTTGTCACCTACGACTGCATACTCGTAGGTGACAATTTGATTGCTCAGTAAAATTGTGCAATATGTAGTGACTGTTTGGCTGTTGAGATTGATTACCTTAGTCTTAGAAAAAAAAATTACTTTTATGCTCTAGAACATAAAATGCGATTTTATGTCGTCTACGTACGACATAAAGGTGCACTTTTTGAGCATGAGAAGTGAAAAATGCTTTTTCTTGTTTTATACCAGGCCGCGTAATTGTAAAAGAAAAACCATTCGTGGTGGGTGGTCGGAAGACTATGATCTAAAGAACTAGAGGCGTAAAAAGTAGGACGCCACATAGATCGGCAAGTAAATAGTTAGCAGTAGATACGCGTTATGTCATTAAAAAGACGGGCTAAAGGAAAAAATAAAGGGTCTGTCAGTTCAATGAAATATGTATGTACGTGAAAAAAAAAACTGTTTTCACTTCTCATGCTCAAAAAGTGCACCTTTATGTCGTACGTAGACGACATAAAATCGCATTTTATGCTCTAGTGCATAAAATAAAATCGTCGTTTAAGACCGAGGCAATGACGCCTGCGCCAACAGCCACCCACACTAGAACCTTATAAAATAAAGCTTTACTTTTGTTTTTTTAACCCGTTATATTACAAAATTAAAAAAGTAGGCCATATTAATTCTAACAAGTTATAAGAAATAGAAATGCATAAAAAATAAAAGCTTGTAAAATATAACTGAGCATTATGTAGTCCGACCGGAGTCACGTGTAGAAAAAAAAAGTAGTACATTGGCGGAAAGTTCTTAATTTTTCTTGGCAATAGTCGTGTTAACGTTTATAATATGTAATATTGCTGTTTAATATCCTCGCAATCGAAGTGAAAAGCAGAGTGTATAACTCGTTCATAAAACTCATTTTACCCTCGATTTAAGTATCCACACTCGCCTGCGGCTCGGGTGGATATACTCGTCTCGGGCAAAATGACGCGTTTTATGCACTTGTTGTACAATCTACTATTTCATGAGATGTGTTAAACAATTAAAGATATGGAGACGAGGATGGATATCAACTTGCCATAAAAAACAATATTGCCCGCCCTTAGTTACCTGTAAGATATAAATTAATTATTTGTTCTCGAAGTTCCGTAACTGTTGTTTCATATACCTAGATTACATAAGTGAGGACTTTGTTAAGTCTAAAAAGTTGTTGTTTTCATTTGTTTCTACCAAAACCTAGAACTTTTCTTAAATAGAGGCAAGGTGATCCCCTAGATCATCTTGCCCATACCCTTAGGATCACCTTGGACACCCCGGTGTGCGAGACGATCCTTTAGTACAGTCTTAAAAATATTCAAATATAATAATGAAAGATCAAAAAATAAAACGTTTTTAGTAAGACAACATGTAAATAGATAATTTTTCAATCATTCAACGCTTTTACATTTGCTTTAAGCTGAATATCTTTTAAACTACCATTATATCATTCAAACATTATTATACACATTCTCCCTTAAGGGGATCATCTGGTACACCTTTGCCCTGTGTTACGCGCAGTGGCCCCATTTAAACTTGAAGAAAATTTTCAACCATTTTCAGACTTTTGAGGTCGGTTTTTTTAGTACTCTGTACGAGATTATTGTCTATAGCAGTATTGTTTAGTTTGACAGTGGCGTGTGGCCTACTGAACGTAACTTACATGTAAATCCCGTCCCGGCCAGTCCTCGATCAGCTGCCGGGCGTGGTCCTTGCAGCCTTTCGTCGCCAGCGCCGCCGCGGGCATCTTGCCATCGCACTCCCACTTTCGATCGGCGCTGTGCGCGTACATCGGCGCCGGAGTCGCATGCGTTACTCGCATTGTCGTCACTAGGCCTAAAAGATAGCGAACTTACGTTTATAAATTTGTAAATATAAACCTGTACAACCATTTCTCGACGTGACAATTTGTATAAAGATCAGACGTGGTACCATAACAATTAATTGTCCCGAAAACAGAATATTGTATGTCCACGTGAGAGGAGCTTGAGAATGGAGGTATGTAGAGATGTTAGTAGCGGTCTAGTAAAACAAAAACAAAGCAGTTTAAGTCAACCTGCACGCTTTCCAGCCTCTAATGCAATCGCAGCTAAAGACTTTAATCTAGCTTCTGGATTCAACGACGCAATGCAATCTCTGTGTTTGACAGTAGCGTCCACTCCGATCGTCTCTTGGTTCACCTTGACCCCGCAGAACAACGCGGTTGCAGTACACGCTGAGTCTGGGACCATTTTGTTGGCGGAGTAAGTCTGAAAATTATGTTAATTTACTATTTTGTAAGAAGTAGGTATATAATTTTCGACCCATAATTTTATTATAGCGAGTCATTTGTAATGCAATCTGCCTAAAGAGCTCAGCGCGGTGAACTCCAGCCCACACACTTGTCTTCGGCAGTGGGACGCGGACGTGCCAATAATGTCCGTTACGGAAGTACACTTCATCCAAAATGTGCAAGTGCAACTTTAAATTTATTTTACTTCATCTGTGACTTTTATAATTACTACTTTTTATTAAAAAGCCGACCTCAAAAGTTTGCTTATCGGCTTTTTATTGGAATTACATGTATTTGCCAAGTTTCATAGAAATCGTTAACGGAAAGTGCGCGAAACAGGATTCATCCCCTGGTTTGCCAACCTTGAGGTGGAATATTTTCTTCCAATTTAAATAGGACCAATACTGAGGTACCCGCTTTCCAGCAAAAAAAGAATCATCATAATCTCAGTACAGAGTACTAAAAAAACCGACCTCAAAAGTACGTGGAATTACATCTATTTTCTAAGTTTTAATGAAATATCCTTAAATGCGCCACTATACAGGACTTGACACTGGAGATAATAAAAATCGGTTTTCACTACTCAAAGAATATTGAGAGAAAAACGCCTTGAATTGGAGAAATAGCAAAATCAACATTAAAATAATTGCTCCTTAAGAAAATTTAGCCGCTATTTATAAAACTGAATCTTCATGCGTGAAAGCCACCCTTAGAGGTGGATGATTTCCTTCAAAATGAAATGGGACTACTATGGAAGTACCCCCTTCCAACAAAAAAAAGAATCATGAAAATCGGTTCACAAATACCGGAGTTATCGCGTAACATACATACAAAAAACATACAGTCGAATTGACAACCTCCTCCTTTTTTAAAGTCGGTTAAAAATCGGTTCACAAACTATAACTTTGTTATCTATAACAAATATAGATAACAAAGTTATAGTAGGTATAAGAAGATATAGTATAAGATAAGTGTGATAACTTTGTTCGAATTGAGGACCTCCTCCCTTTTTTTGAAGTTGGTTAAAAAGTGACGACAATGTAAGAAGGCACGTGAGGTACTGACAGTCTAAAATGACGTTAGCGCTAAGCACGTTAGCACGCAATACGTTAGCACGTTAGCGTAAGCACGCAATTGCTGAAGATTGCATAACGTCAACGTGAACACGCGTTACAGGGAACTATTATTGAATTGTTCCATTCATTTTCGATCACTGTTCAATAATATTTCGACTATATTCACAAGCACTTATTAATAACGTATTAAACTTATAAATAAAAGATTAGAAATGAATAATTTTCAATCAATTAAGCAACTATATGTATAAAAAATAAAAGTCAAACATACGAGTAGGTACATGTTAATTTATCGGGCTCTATGGATTTTTTAACAATTTTAGTTACTACAAAATATGTAAAGTTTGCAGATTTCACAGAAGGTCACGCCTTGTGGCCACATGCTCCAGAGGTACCTTGGTAAAGTAGGGATAAATATGCGAAGTGAATATTTTGTTAATTTTGTTTTGTCGTTGAAATGGAAGTTACACGCTCGACCATACCAAGTAATTACAATTTTTGGTCAATATCCGTAGGGTGCTTAAAGCTTACTTAAAGTTTATTAAGTTTAAAATCTTACTTTTAACAACCCGACATGCGGGAACTTCTCGTACACAAGTTTGTGACTCTCTCCGCCTTTGTAAATTCTGGTAGCTGTCACGGTATTCGGTCCCATGCCATCCCCAACGAACAAAATTACGTTTTTCGCTGTGTTCGTGTTCCATTTCACTTGGAGGGCTTCTTTGAGTTCCTCGCTAGCTAGTTCCTTCCAATAAGCTTGATCTAGAAAGGTACGACGACAATTGACGAATGGTAGTAATAGGCAAAAATATTTTGTTGTCAATTATTTCAACTCAAAAAAATATAAAAAAAATATTTACTTGCGACAGGTTTCATTCTTATAAAATTATTTATTTATCAATTCCACCATACAATTTTAACTTGTCAAGTTTTTGAGCCGCCATTCACGTTCAGAGAGATGTTAAATATATCAGGGAGCTGTAAGTGTAAGTTCTATTTCCACAAATATTTTGTCGGAAACTTCTCTTGGCATTGGGTTAGAAAAATAGTTACAGGTAAGTACTAAAATAAATACATGTTTCTTTGCTTTTGACAATAATGTACAGAATAATTAATTATTTTATTATAAGGCTAAGGAAAACTTGTACATTGCAATTTATATGATCCTCTGCCGAACAGGGTTTAACCTTTGTTTCAGCACAGGGCCTTCCCACGGAGAACATTAGCTTTAGCCAACCAAAGTTGGTGGTCAATTCGTACAAGTAGCGAAAAAATGTGGAAAATTTGGAGGGTAGAAATAACATTAAAAACATAGAAAAAATGGCAAAGATTCACACAAAACTTTTTGGTAAGTAAGAAGTATCACAATTAGGTATACATGTGAATGGACACGCGTCCTAATTTTGTTATTTTGAATGCGTGTCTTTTTTTGCAAATTTTTTTTCTAACCTTTTTTACTACGTGTCATATTTTACTCTCGGTCATCCTCGTTAACGTTTTTTTATATATTAAATGACGAGACGAACGTGACAGCTGCAGTGGCACCCAGAGCTAAGATCTTTGAGATTTAAAATCTCAAAGATCTTAGTGTAACCGCCTCTGCGTCCGTCACCCTGAGATATAAGTTGACAAGTCCCACGTGCTTATAATTTCACCAAATTACTTTACCGTCCACTAAATCCATCCGGGTAATTTGTAAATGTACACACAACCCCACATGTAGGTATGCTCTAGATACAAACTCACTTTTCGACAGGGTTTTTTTAAGTATTCGATCTACCTGAGGTCCACTGGCCGTACGTGACGTAATTATTGCTTTTCATTCTGGCTTTCACCTTAAGGTTTGTGTTTATAACCTTTACTTAGCTCATCTATGATTTAATTAATTATATGGCTATAATTATTTAAGAAAACAACTGAACAAACAACGATTTATTCAAATTCTGCAATATTGCGATTTTATGTATACCTACTGTACAATGATTTCGTATGTATTATACCTACCTTTTACGTAGGTTACTTATCTTAAAGAACCGCACTCTCTTTACAGTAAGTAAACAGGTGAATAGTAGGTATAGAAATAAACTGTGTCTCCAAATACTGTGACCTTGTACAAGAATTTTATGCTAGTTATTCTGCTTACAGTATAATTATATTAATTATTCTCTTCGTCTCTGATTGATTACAAGTAGGTAGTGAGTATGTATAAAGTAGTACACCGTGAGTACGTATGTGAGTGACCTAAAATAGACTTTTTTATTGACTAATGTCCGATAGCGAACAATCGATACTTGATGTTCACAAATGGATTTCGTATCATACGATCGATCTTAACTAACGTTAATGCCTTTTCAGTGCAAAGAAATAACTTTATAAGTATTATATCCATCAATACCGAACCATGAAAACGTGATCATTGTATTGTAGAAGGCTATCTTGTAATTATAGAACCCATTCGTTTCTTTACGATACACTCATTTACACTTAATCAACAAAATTTCAGTTTCTTTTGATTAATTAGCACATAATTATGTCCCTTAATGCTTAGTTTCAATTATTTTTGATCACCAATTAAACGAAAACGTGCTAATCTTTTTCTCATTATACAAACATAAACAAGGTAACATAAACCAACTTACCGGTACGAAAAGAGCAATTCACTGTAGTGAATAATGTGAGTGAAACAACCGCTCTAAATGTCTGCATCGTGTCTACTGGAAGCCATCGTCGAGTGCGCAAGTGACCTTGCCCATAGTGTTGGGACAAACATGATGTGTCGATAACAATGCCATTGCTGCTGACTCAGTTCTGTTTACTGAATGCCTTATTTAACATTAACAAGCTTGCGTTGTATATATTATCTATGAGAATATAATACTATCATTATTTCTCTGCGTTTCTCAATTTCGTTAGCTCTGCCTTCGCTGTGTTCGTTACCGTGGTCTCCTCGATGATAACTAAAACGCATGATATGGAAGTCCTCGACAAAACGAATAATATGAACCCAAACGCCCAAACACAAGGTAGCTGCAGTAACTGTTGAGGAGTCTCTGCCATTTCCATCATCAGATCAGCTCTAGGTCACATAATATTTCACTTTAAATGGAATGACATCTATGTTCCAAGTTTTATTGAGTCGATTAACAGAAACTGGGTGATATTCAATAAACTGGATACATCCCCTAATTGCCCACACGTAAGGTAAGTATAGCATAACGTAACGGACAGCTACTGAGCTTAGGTACCCTCTTTTCAGCAAAAAAAAGAGTAATCGCAATCAGTTCACATCCACAAAAAGATACAGTCGAATTGAGAAGCATCGCCTTTTTTGAAGTCGTTTAATAATTTTATCGACATATTGTCGTTTGACTATTCTATTCCTGAAACTTTAAGTACTTACGTAACATTGAAATTGGCTCTTTTCAATTGAAATAAACAGAAGAAATAGAAAGTTAGTCAATTTCTAAATTCATTGTGAGTCCCTGCACAATAGTCGGGGTCAATGAAACCAGGATTCAAAGGAACGGTGCATTCTCGTGGACCTGAATGAACAATATAATGTATATGTGCCAAATAATAATATTATTCATCACTGGGTTTACCCTAGCAAATATTTTTATTTTCTGTCGATATAAGTTCATTTGTTCAGAAAGTATAATAATAAAGTATTTACGTGACATTAAATAAGCGATATAATATACAAAATTTGTTTAAAAAAAAGGGAGTATCTGCTAGCCTTTTAGTTACTAGAGCTGTAACAAGGCGAATAGAAAGCATATTAGAACATTATGTCCCCAGGTATCCAGGGTTTCCACTGCATAATGCACTGGTTGTACTTAAACCGTTTGCGGTTCTTAGCTGCTTGGCGCTCATGCTTGAGTGAATAAGGAAGGGCCACAGTGTTCACATACTCGTATGTCACATCCCTCACTATCTGTCCGCTTAGTTTCTAGAACCAGCCGATCATCAGACAGTCAGGTCTTTTACAGTTGTTGCTACAAATGCCAATAGGCTTGAGGATAGCCGAACGATGATGTGTAGCGTGTCATTCGGGCAGTCCTTTATCACCACACCCACGTTGGTGGGATTGCACTCTTCCTGCGCCCAGAGGCATATAGTTAGCGAGAGGGAGAGACCGTCTAGTATGATGCTCACGTTGGCGGAGTGTCGTGTCTGCAGCAAATTTTCAAAAATAGCGCAGGTATGAGCGCGTCCTTTGGGATTGTTGGCATAATGTAACTGGGTACGACTTGTTGTCAAGCCGCCGTACCAACGCTTTTTTTAGTGCAAGAATGACAAGAGGTCGATGCCATTAATTTCCAATTTTGTATTAAACTATAGTGAAGGCTCCTATCCCAGCTTGGCCAGCTCGGTGGGTTATAGTAGTCTAAGCCTACAATGTAGATTCATGCCGGAGAGTATATAGTACACAGGTTGATTAACTACTATATATACGATTACTTGTTTAATATCGGATTGTGGAGCCGGGAATTGACGTGCCATATGCCAGCACCACACGACAACTGCGGATGAGTCACGGTCTCAATTAACATCGCAACAGCAGCGGGCGTGACACCCAACGACGAATAGCATTTTTAGTTTTGACAGCTCTTGGTTTTAACATTGACCATTAGACACTTATTTTTGTTTAACTTTATTAATTTTTTGTTTTTTTTTGGCATCGTTCCATCTTCGTAATTAACGCGCATGTTTGATAGAAATAGTTATCTTTAATCATTATAAAGGTGCATCTCTCTCCTCCGTAAAAGCGCAGGAATTGGGTCTTGCTGATACATATTATCGTCTCTCACCAATTCAACGACTGTTGAATTTTGAAGTTCTTTACAACATTCAATACTTGAAGGGCGATGAGCGGGAGGCGGGGCTGTCAAACAGGTCGAATTGTCATTTAGTTAAGTGCTGATCTGCGCTGGAAGTCGGTCCGTCGTCGGTCCGTCGGTCCGTCGGCCACTCCGCTCGCTGTTTATCGATTCCACCCCAATTTCCCTTACGCATGCTCAGCACAGCCTCCGTTAAGACGACGATGTTACTCGTATAGATAAAAGTTTTATAAGGCCTTTATTAAGACATTCAAGTGTATTTGTATGGGTTGGCACAGTGTGAATCTAAGCATTAATATATTCATAAAATCAAACATAATAATATATGTATGTTTGTCGTTAAATTTGTTATATATACCTAACATACACAAGTATATCAAACATAATTTAAAATATCATTTTCTTTTATGAATAATGCTGTTAAATAAGGCTCTGTTCTAAGTTAATACTATTATCATAATAAGTATGGAAAGAACCGTATCAAAGGCAGAGCCACAGTACAACATCGCCTTAACATTCACAATGAGTTTTACCATACTGGCTGCACTGTCTATTCGTCACAAGTCGTGTGGTGTGGGAACGACAGGAACGACGATTGTAATAATTTCGTTAAAACAATGGCGTTATATCACTCACATTTATAATAAACAGATAAAATTATTTTATAAACGAATGCGAGCGCCATTAGTGGAACTATGCTGTGTAATAGATAATAAACACTTTTGAAGTCCAATACATTTACAAAGAGAAATAAAATGGAGTTGCCTGTGCTGGATAAATTCTGCTTCGTGTTCAATTTGAGGGCGGGGTGCATTTCTATGGGTATTATTAATTCGGTAAGATTTAGCTCGTATTCCTACTACTTGGATAATCTTGTAGTTCCTACGGTCACGCGTTATAGGTTATTATGTTACTTACAACGACTTTAAAGTATAAAGACTTTCGTGGTTATTCACTAAATGATTAGGTATCACTAGATACAAGTTTCTGACCATGAAATGAATTCTTTTTATTTTCCCGATGAACCGACTGACGGGTCAGCCCGTGGACATGGATCGAGTAGCCGTTCCGAAATCTCAATAAGTGAAACCGTGGTACGAAACCGGTAACTACCGACGAAGTTGTATTTCAATACATTTATTAAAAGTCAGTGTTGATTCCTAAATTTGCTAAAACATAGCGTTATATTTTACAAAATTAAGAAACAGAGATTTTCGTGTCACATTTTTATGAAAATTTAGAAATTGTCTAAATATTTTCTGATGTTTGTACGCGTTTCCGTCACGCAGGTGGCACCTAATTAGTGGTGCAAGTAAGCCTTACTAGCTCTACGTTGACACCACCTAGTCAACTTACCCTATGCTTATTTATTACTAACTCGATATTATATTCCAGCGTGTCTAACTGATGTAGGCGTATTAAAAATAATTTCAATAATTTGTTAACCTATGATTTAATAAAGAGATGTGGATTTTAAGTATAGTCTGTGGTCTGCATGGATCTGTTCCAGCTGCTGACGTTCTTGCTGGCCGTTATCATGATAACCTTCGCTGTGGATATCAAGGACGCGGCGGACTCGAAGGACGGCGAGCCGATGTCATCTGTTGTCTACACCATCGTCGTGCTCATCGTTGTGCTTCTCTTCCTCAAGTTTCTTCTCGACTTTATTTTTGTTTACGCTGTTTACAAGGTACCTACGTGTGCATTTTTACTACAAGGCGAAAACAATGTCTATCAATTAACTACGTCTAAGGCGATTAAACTGTTCTAATATTAGGAAAAACGCGATGAATGATGACGGTGAAATCAAAGCAAAGTGAAATATTTTTTTTATTTCCTACGACTCAGTCTCTAAGTCTAGTTTATCTTTTTTACTAATCGCCAATATTTTTAAAATGAACATTGAATGAGTTCTACTATTCCAGGAAAAATGCGGCATCATGAAAAATTACTGCATTTTTTGGATAGTGTTCATGGTGTTATTCATCATTGGCTTTCTCAAGACTCTGTTCCACATGTCCGCAGGGTACGTCATCGCCGAAATATTGTTCTTGGGTAAGTTCACACAGGTACTTTGTTCAATTTTCAACTATTATTAGGCGTCCTTCGCAAAATACTTTCCATAAATCACGTGAGATAATCTAGTTTAAAAGAAATAGGTTCCAACATTGACCTGAGGGACTACTATAATAGCGTAAAATATTTTTATGTAAGGTTCCTAATGAGGCCATTGTCTTTCTTGCGTCTTATTGTGACATTCGCTAAAACCGCAAGGACCTGATAAAACAAATGAATCTTTCAGCGGAAAACTTCTATTCGATCGTCGTGATCCGGAGCTACCTGATATCGATCAACGAGGATGGCGTGCTATAATCACGTATCGAGTAGTCATTAAAAGTTAATCGGTGTCTGCAGTACTCGTAGAATATGTTTTACGTTTTTGTGATAATTTCTCATCAGAAATACTCCGAATGTTTTAACGGTTAGTTGTTAATTGGACGACTAAGTTTTGCACAACGTATTGCGATTAACCCTAAACATGACGTAAATAGAAATAAAGTAGTAAGACAGTCGACTGTCTCGCTGGTGAGGAAATACGTTTAGAAATACTAAGTAAACCAAAATGACACCCAAATTGTTCGAAGAAATAAATAAATAATGGTCGGATGGTATGTTTGCATAAAAAATTAACTTACCACTCAGAGTTTTTACGTCGACAACTGGACAAAGTTCTCTCCAGGAGAATTGCCACAATGGGCACATTTGAGGCGAGAAATCTTATTAATATAATACAGGGAGAGGCTCTCCCTTTGTGGAATATTGTAATTGGAAAACTTCGGAGTAAGTCTTAATTATGCGTTAGCAATTATTAAACAGTAGTAGGTGTGTGTATCCACATTACAGTGCGTTCTGTTATTAGAGTTGTATGGAGTGGTGTTCAATGCAAAGCATAAAATGTCAGATGAGCAAACAATCCTATTGATGATTGATAACTTTTGTCGGATTTTGAACTGTATTTACTCACAACTTGCAAAACAAAGGGCGCTACGATCTTTGAAGTCATCCATTAGCCGCACAGACGCCCGACGAGAAGTTATGAGGTATTTCGGACCGCACCGAAGTTGATGCACAAATTGCACGAGATCATAAGAAATGAAAAAAGTAATTTGTAGGGTAGAATGACGTCAAAAGGACCAAAGTATTGAAGAGAAAAATGATATGTTTGTGTATGTACGGAACGGAGCGTATCAAAGTTTTGTGTTTAATTATAAATGAAAACGTGCTTTTTCAAAATGGTTACCTATGTATTTGAACCCGCGTTCACGATGTTTTTACAAATCAAAATAAACAGCGATTAATAGGACAACTACTTACCTATGTACGCCACTGTGTTGACGAGATGCAAAAAATAGATACCTACAGTAAAAGCGGACAACAAGGTACACTGTTCTTATAAACACATATATTACTTAGTTACATGTAACAAGTTTTAGTAGGTACGATTTATTTACAAAGAGGTAACCATTTTCGAGCTGCATTTAAAATTATGATTGCTAACGAAAACCGTAATGTGATTTTGTCAAAGCATTTGTTTACAATGTGGTTGTGAAGTTATCGGCTATGGCGGAAACATACAGCCGAAGTAATTCGTTGTTGATTTGTTCATGTTTAATGTTTATTGTCTTCCAAACGTAGAGTTAAGAATCGCTGTTTTTGTTAGAACATTTTGTTGACTATTTGAGAGTTCCATAAGAGAGGCCTGTGTGGACCGCTTCTCATTAGGTGTTTAAAAGTGAAGAGTTTATATAAATCGTATGATGGGTGATATGAGTTTCCCCGCTGTAACAAAACTAAAGACATATTCAAAGAAAATGAAGCTTTTTACCGACAAATTTATTAAATCCGTTATACTAAAAGGCATATCTTTCTACAACAACACGTTTTGTACAGAATTTACAATTTATTACATTTTGTATACAAATAATCGATGTATTTTGTGTGTGTTTATTCAAGTAAAGAGCTTTTATATGTCGCGGACTTACATATCGCATTGCATGGACGTCCGATTCAAGAATATCGTATGCATATGAGTGCGTTTTATGTAAGTAAAACATACCTACTTATTATATTAGTCAAATACAGAACAAGTGCAGGGAAGAAACTGTTTCTTTATAATTATTGCGTATGATAGGTAACAACCTAATTACACTGCCCTTAGAAAAGACCAAAGTTCAGATGTGGGACATGTAAGTGTTGATATTATTGTCCAGGGCAGTACTTAAAATGTAATTTAGCAGATTCTTCCTCTGATCCTAAAATTTTGCAACGAAAAGTGAGTACGAATAGTCAAATCGACCGATATATACAATTGTTTTAATTATTGCGACGTATGCAGGTACACGCGTGTGTCTAGTATTCAATCAGTACCTACCTGCCTGTTATTAATTTTTTTAGTATTGATAATTACCTTGAAAGGTACATACTATTATAGTATTGTCTATTTAAAGGTGGTTTCCCCACTGCCTTTGAATGTACGAATCGCTCCGGGCGGGCGGGCGCCGCCGCGGCGTGCTCGCGCCACGTGTCAGGTTACCTGTCGTAAAGCTACCTCAGATGTTAGTAAATATGTTCAGTTACGTGTTAGGTACTACATATGTATAGATAGTAGGTGAAAGTATATTTATAAATGTGTGTAACTCTACCAGCTTATATAAAACGGGCCACGTGCGTTGCGTATTGTACCTATATTGAATAGATTTGTATTTATGTAAAATGAAATAAGGGCCGAATGTCATGTAGGTAGTAGAACCAAATGTTGACAATAACGTGTCTTTCGCTTTAAATAGTTTTAGACGTATTTATTTACACATTTTCCTGAAAGTAAATAGTTAATTTAATTGTCAAGTGTTAAGCGTAGCAAAGTGTTACTAATATAGTTGCAAAGAAGTAAGTTTTTATAAATTTACAAGTTTTGAAATACATATATATATTTCAAAACTTGTTTTGAATATATATATATTCAAAGGTATAGAATAGAACATATCGTCTGGAATGTAATATTATGAAATCATTCTTAAACCAATGTTAATTAATTTTCACACCGCAGTAAATATTTCCAAAAGTGCTAAGAAGAAAGTCAAAGCACATCTCTCTAAAGGCCATGAGTTATGATTTTCGAGCCTTCATAGTAGCATTATGTGATTGTAAATAAATCCTGGTGTTATACGTAATCTTACTATAATGCACTATGTTATTATTTCTAATAAATACAACATTATTTACAAGCACTGGCTGCATGGCTAGATCTACTTTTTTAAATATGATGAATCAATAGGAACAAAATGTTAACATAAAATATTAAATAACATATAGTTTAATGAGATTATCTTTTAGGTCATTTATTAGGAAATAACAGGAAAACGTCCATGGCCATGTGGTTTAGCCAATGACGAATGCGTCCGATAGAGACCATTGGTTTAGTTTAATTTTGTAAATCTAAACGAGCTTCAACGTGTCCAAAAATCATCGTAATTGACTGTTAAATTAACTATTTACTTTAAAAAGTCTACGTCTAATAGATATGTCATTTTCCTACGAAATATTTACTGTTTACCTGTTATAAATATTTTTCTTATATTCTTTTGGAATATTTACTCTTTCATGTACGGGGTGAAAACACGACATACGAATACGTATGGTAAAAATGCGTTCACAGAATATAAATATTGATAAGATCGAGCTTTACATAGAAAATGAGCAATTTGTAAAAATATTTTGCTGAAATTACACTACCAAAACAAAACCACCCCCATCAGATATAGGTTTATTATGCTTGTGTTTAATTGAAATGACAGCCGTTGTCTTAGACTATTTGACTGTTGCATATGTAACTTGTCAATCATTAATATTGAATGAGTTTTACTGTTTCATTAAATGATTAGATACTGAAATTTCGCCTTCAATATCCGGCGAATATATGTTTACACATTTGAATAAATTATCCAAAATCGAGGTAGCTCCTACTTTGTTTTTAAGGTTTTGAATAGTACCTACATGTTTTGTAAAGGTAATGAGAGGTAGGTCCGTATATCGTTTTGTCCAGTGAAATAGAAAAATATCTTATTTTTATTGTACCACCCCGTACATCACGTTCTATGTTATACCATGTTTGCGATAAATGTACTTGATATATACTTATAGATGTTTGATAGACGTATTTTATATATACCTACCTATGTATATTAATGACTGTGTCGCGAAATAAGCGTATATGATAAAACTATTCTTAAATAACGGACAACTTTCGTAATGTATTCTGTTCGCTATTCCTTGCAGTGTATCGATCACATACCTTTATTTGATATCATTAATAACGAAAAACAATATTTACATTTCCAAATGGTTTTTTATACAGGCTGTTAGCAGGCGAGTTTGCCTTAGAAGACGATCTACCAACGCCTCAATAATAGAGTCGACTAAAAGCAATAAACTTTTGAAATATCACTGTTAGTATCTAAATGTTTGGTGAAAGATTAGTGGAGTGTCCTTCGAATTATTTGTGCTGTAATTGTTAAGGTTTTTCTATGGGCGAATCGTCGCGCACAGC